GAACTAGAATTAGGGTTCCGCTGAAAAAAATCAAAATGTACTAAATAGATTTAACAAATTTATATCAAAAGTAGTAGCTGTGATTCTGCTAGAATTTATATTTAGTTAGTGTTCACTGTAAATAACCCCTGTTTTGTGCAGACACACGCAGTAGGTTAAGGAAACTCAAGTCTGATATTCGATGGAAGCTAAAAGGTCCTATTAGTATGTAGCTAATTTCTGTAAATGATAAACTAACATGATAATAATAATTAAAAAATATTTATTTCACCTTAGACTTTCTTTTGTAAGATCTATCTTTTCGTTTAAAAAGTAATCATGAAGATATCGCGTGACGTATACAATATAATGTTTGTATGGATACTATAAAATTTCTAAATAAGCCTAATTTTTGTGTCAGTGAGTGAGTGAACAAATGAGCCTTTGTTAGTGCTTTACGCTTTCTCAATTTAAGCTAAATTCGGAAACCTATATCCTTTATATATATTACAGGCTACTTATTAAAAAATCCATCCCACGGGAACCGTACATTTTTCTGGGATAAAAAGTAGCTTATGTGTTATTTTGATGTATGAGCTTTATTATTGTAAAGTTTCATTAAAACCCATTCAATGGTTTTTGCGTGAAAGAGTAACAAACATCCATACATCTATACATCTCGACATCCATACATCCTCACAAACTTTCGCATTTAAAATATTAGTAGGACTTATCTACCAAATCGCGATCATAATATTTGTATGATATATACTAGCAAGAGAACTAGTTGAAGTTTAAATAAAGAATGAAGTTGAAGTTGAGATGAAGTTTTCATTTTGTTCACCGTTTCAGATAAGTTTAAAAAAAACTTTAAACTATTATTTCTAGATTTAAGCTATTAAGTATTTCTAAAACCAAAAAATATTTCCTTTGAATAAAACTGGATAACTTCTAAGGTACTTCCATGTTTCATTCGTTCCATCCACCCTGTATTTCCCTCTTCCTATAATCCTGGGTCGTTTAAACGGAGCGTGAAAAAGCACATTTGCAGGCCGACAAGGTGAGGTTGATCGGAATCGAGATCAAGTCCCGGATCCGATGGATCTCATTCTGGATTCCACTGTCGCTTACCATCAGGCGTCATGGAGTCATCTTGTCGAGCGTCAATAAAAAAAAAAATTAAAAGCCAGATATATGTATAAGAAACCCTTAACATTAAGAGTATAACTTGTCGTTTTCCTTCCATAATGTTTACTCATTTATAATTTAAGTCAATAATGAATGATTAATTATGACCCTACAAATGTATTTAAATATTAAAGCTTAAGAAATAAGTCTCCTGTCATCAGCAGATGGCTCAACAGATGGATGGATCGTCATAAATAACACCCTAAAAGGATTCCGCTTTTTGTCAGAGATCGTTTTATATTTTAGACATCATCGCCAAACGATTATACTTGTTAAATTGTTAAATATTTCTAACTAGCGGCTCACCCTCGCTTTGCACGGGTTTGCTTCTAAAAAAACAAAAATAAAACTATCCCACGGGAACTGTACGTTTTTCCGGGAAATATGGTATGCTATGTGCTATTCCAGACTATAATCTATTTCTGTGCCAAATTTCATCCAGATCTGTTCAGGCGTTCTAGCGTGATTGAGTAACAAACATCCAAACACCTAAACTTTCACATTTACAGTAAGATGACCACAAACTTTAGTGTTATAAATTAATAGTGACTTTATTATGTAGCTTATGTCGCGCAATGGCAGCTCATCTCCTTGCTATGATATATATATATATATATATATATATATATATATATATATATATATATATATATATATATATATATATATATATATACTGCATTATGCTATATGTATTTCCATATGTCATTAGCCAATCCGTTGTGACCACTAAAAATACATGCTTCTCTTATCTTATAATACTGTAAAAGTAATTTATTTATTTTACACAAAATAAAATAAAAGCCTTATAAATTTTTTTTGGAAAATGTTATTGAAATAGTCATTATTATTGATACAGAGTCCGAATATATAATTTTAGAATTGTTGTCTGTCTGTCTGTCTGTTACCGCATCACGAAAAAACCACTGGAGGGATTTTGATGAAATATGGTTCTTATGATGATTGCTGGTTGTCTTGGTCAATAGGATATAGGATACTTTTAACTGCGGGAAAATATCTCATCTCTGTGAAATCTATACTAAACGTTAAAACATAAGTAGGGACGAACCCGAGCGGAGAGAGGGTGAGTCGTTAGCTTACAATAAAGTAGTATGATCTTTAGTGCATGCACTTATCAGGTTGTTCAGGTCCTATGATAAGACCTATATCAATAAATAAACACTAGAACTAACAATGTAACATTTAAAAAAAAAATGAATTATTGTTATCTTAATCATAAATTGATTTATTTTTATCATGCAAAGTTATAATTTATCATGTCCTTCTAAGTCGTAGGCGCCTCTATACCATATTAGGTGTCGTTATTTAATACGAGCAGTTAAACTACTTAACATGCGTGCGCGCAGCTTCCTGCTGTTTCAGAGTAAACTAGATATTTTACTCTATACACCGATATTAACGCTCCAATTAAAATTTCCATTAATACATTGACATGATATTGCAAATGTTCACTTAAAATAGTTATAAGGGCTTCGATTTATTAACGCATTTTTAATTTTAATTATTAATTCTAGATCTTGAAAATAAATTAATATTTAGCATATTGATTAAAATAATTATAATTTATTGTCGACTTCTAAGTATAATATTTAAATATTGCTCTAATTATTTTGTAATAGAGCAGTAATGAACTAACTACTACTACACCTTGACTTTAAAATGAAATTGAAATATATTGTAAATGATGGGTACCACAATATATATATATATATATATATATATATATATATATATATATATATATATATATATGTGTTATTTATAAGTTCTTATAATATTCTTATTGTTTCGTGACAGGAAGATAAACCAACAAAAGGTATGAAATATTTTTTAGTTTTCTAAATTCATATATAAGTAACTAGCATTGCCCTCGGCTCCACCCGCGTTTAGATAAGCAAAAACCAAATTCTTAGGTTTTACATATTAGTATAGGTACTCTTACATTGCAGTTTTTGTATTTTTTCTCAGAAATGAGACATTTTCCCGCGGTAAAAAGTATCCTATACGTTGACCCGGATAACCAGCCGGATAACCATACCAAATTTCATCAAAATCCCTCCAATGCTTTTTCCGTGATGCGGTAACAGATAGACAGACAGACAGACAGACGAAAATTCTAAAAACTATAGATTCGGCCTCTATATCGATAATAATGTCTATTTCAATGCGATTTTCTAAAAAATATATAATGTACAGACTCGGCTTAGTTACAATTTGTTATATGTATAGATTAGGGGTCTGAGCGAACGTACTCTACATGAAATTGTTAGTAGGTATATATTTTCTAAACTTGGATAACTCACTAAATACTATAAATACATTATAATATAACTCAAAATTCTTGATACAGTGGCCAATAAAGCTCTAAGCAAATAACAAGTAAAGGCAATACAATAACTCACTCGCAGCCGCGAGCTTGATGGTGCTAACTAGAATGTATAGCTCAAAAGACAGTCAGGAATAACCATTTAATAAGCAAATACTCTACTTTAGTTAGGGTTTTCAAATTAAATGTACATAAATGCTTTGTAGCGTACATATTGTGTTTGAACTCGTAAAAACAATAAAATATTAAGTCAAATAGATTTAAAGTTTTAAATAAAACCATCTTTTCGGAATTTTTCGCGCATGTTTTAATTTCTGGTTCCCGACGTTTAGAATACTTTACAGTAATCATGCTCAAAGGAAAGACTAAGGTTTTAGACGTCTCACGTACAAAAATGGCACCAAAGTAGGTATCTTACAATATATGCTAGAAGTTATAACATTTAGAAATATATAATACTTATTCGTTTAGCGCAATTATTTCTAAACCATATTATTAGATACTAAAATAAATTCAAGCTTCATTTAGCACACAGAAAACCAATAGCAATAAAAATAAACATAATAATATTATAAAATCATTTTATTTTACTTTAATATTTTTTATAAATATATTTTTATTTATTCCATAATTTTCATTACTATTTTATTTTTAAACGAAATGGTTGATTAAAACAATACAATGAATATGTATATAAATTCTAATATAAATAATGCATGAAAATGTATATACCTACCTACTATAGGTATATTTATAACAAATTGGCAGTTATAATAATAATAAAAAATTCTAGCTGTGTGTATGTAAAATTATTATCGGCAAGTAAAAGTTAATTAAACGTACATGTACTTTTATTCCTTTAACTCTATCAATAAATAATTACAAATAATAATTTAAAAGTGTATTTTGAGTGTTATATCATATATAAAGTAGTATTTTATATATATGAACTATTTTTAATAAATTAAAAAAATATGACAATAAAACCTATTAGTGGCAGAGCTCTACAGAAAACCCTAAATCTCAATGTCATTAAACACACTTGCATCATTAAAGCAAATCGATTGTAAAAATGTAAAGTAATTGACGAAAACGCGTAAGCAAATAATAAATGTTATAGTAGGCGGAGACTCCGCCTCAGAGGGCGTAGGGAGGGACGCGTCTCGCGGGACCGAGGAGGGAAGAGGACCAGTCGCGCTCTCTACCGCGAACTTAACGCGCGTCCACTCGCGACGACATGTGCCTTATACAGCCTTACTAGACAACTGTGAATAATACTAGGCATTATTATAGTATACCAGTGCATAGAGTTATTAAAAAAAATAATAATTCTGACAGCTAAGAACAATATTTTGACATATCGAATCGTGCAAATTTGCTAGTGTTGACTACAATGGGATCACAGCGCAGACTGTTAAGTGCGTGACAATGCCGGCGCTGACTGAAAAAATAGAATTAAAAAATAATTTTAAATTTAATTTTAAAAATGGATCTCACAACACGTCGGTGTGAGGATGGCGGCGAACTCGTCAATGGGGGCGAGTGTATAAGGGATATAAGGGATGTAAATGGACAGAGTAGTGACGTCACAGGGGTGATAGAAGTTTCCAGAAAAACCAGCTCATTCAGCATAAGAAATTTAGTTGGAGGGGGTGACGATCGACCTGCCGACGGCAATGCAAATCCAAGTGAGGGTGAGTTTTATAATAATAATAAGATAAATAATACTTAATTTATCAGTTTAATTAGTATCGCTATGTCAGTTTGCTAACTTAAAAACATATTAAATAGTAAACAATACTATCAAGAGTAAATAGCTTTTTTGATAGTCAATTTTATTATTTTTTTTCAATCTCACTGGAAAATCATCTGTGTAAATAACATCATTTTTATAAGTTAGATAAATAATACTGTCATACTGTTTAAATAAAAATATAACAAAGAATCGGCATAAACAAACTTAGAAATTAAACAAAATAACTTTCAATAACATAAAATAAGCCATAGTTTTAACATTAAAATTCTAACCGCGTCAACTTAACCTATGATTATACTCGTAGTTTAATTTATATAGCAATCCTTAACGATGTCAAGAGCCATTTGGAGCGCTTGTCAGTAATTCTATAAAAGGTTACAATTTGCCAATATGGTTTACCAACTAATTAGCTATATTTTTCTGTTATCTAAACTTCTAATTAGATTGCATTATAGTACAATAGACTAGATGATACCGTGACAACATAGTTTAGCACACTGTCGATTTTTTTACTCTCACTTAATATTACTACAATTTCGATACAATGGGTGACTTGTTCTTATTATAACTCATATTTCCAGTATATGTAAGTATAGAATGTAATGGTTTGTTCGTAAGAACTTTGAAGTTGTAATTTTAAAGGCTAACTCAACATCTGCAGTATAAACACTTTTAATTTTTCCCATCTAGACTCGAGGTCAACAACTTTTTTTAATGCCACAAGCTTTAAATTTACTATGCTGCAGCGAAACTTTCGATCTGCTTCTTTATAATTACAAGCGACTTACGTAAACCATTTTACACGAAGTTTTATTATGTAGATCCTTAAAAATCATTATCAGTTTATGACTACATCTTCATGTTGTAGTTTAACAATGTTAGTGAAGATTGTAAGGGTTTATCACCGCCATAAAATAAATAATTACTCAACAGTTATACACAATGTTACATGTTAGTAGTACTTAAAATTATTTGCTTTACGGAGGCTGCATATTACAGAATTATTTTTTGGCAGTAAATCAAGCTTTGGTATTATGGTTAAAATATAACAAAAATGTTTAGTTAATAATATATGAAATTGATTAAGAACGTAAAGCAAATTTTATTAAAAAATAAAATTACTTTATGGTTGGTAATTCTACAATGTGCGATGACGTTAACATTTCGTGTCTATAGGCCTTGTCGCTATTAGTAAGCATTTGCATGAATAATGCGACTTTAATAATTTAATGCTAAATTAATTGTTGTGCTAATTTTTTTAAGGCAGTACTTTTCTAAACAAAATCGGCAATACTAGTCTCTACGCTGAAGTTATGGATTTAATTTTCATATGAAGTGTATTTTGTATCAAGAATTCATCCTTATTCATACAGAAGAAGATAGAGAAAGAAGTTAGAAGATAGAGTCTGTTTTCTCTGCTAACCTCACAAAAACAATATATATATATATATATATATATAAAAGTCGGGTTTGTTACAACACATATAACTCCAGAACTGCAGGACCGATTTTCATGGTTTTTGATTTGTTGGATTTGTCTCCGCCCCAAATAGTAGAATAATTATTAAAACATCAGAAAAATTAAAAAAAAAAAATTACATGGCCAACGCTGGCTAATAACTATTTATATCTATTTAAAACATACCTAGCGACGAAGCCGAGCCAAGCGAGGGTGAGCCGCTGGTATATAATATATACAACAATGTGAAGAAGTTTTTGTTATAAATGCTTATATCTGTATAATAAAACTATTATAAATGTAAAAGTTTGTGAGTATGGATGTTTGTTACTCTTTCACGCCAGAACGGCAAAACAGATCTGGATGAAATTTGGCATAGAGATAGATTATACTGGAATAACACATAGGCTATTTTTTATTCCGGAAAAATGTACGGTTCCCGTGGAATAGCTTTGTCTTTATTTTTCTAGAGGCGAACCCGAGCGAAGCGAGAGTGAGCCCCTAGTATAATTATAAAATTTGCATTGAACTTACCATTTATAATCTTAATTAGTTACCATTGCAATGTTACAATTAACTTGAAATAATTGTATAACGTTTTTAATTAAAAGTAGATAATATAGAGCGAATACAATGAATAATAGATTAGGTTTTTGTTATTTTTACAGTTCTTTATTAAATTGCTTCCTTCGCTATCTGTTTCTCTGGCAACATTGAACATTTTAAATAATTCATTTTTCAATCACTAAATGGTCTTTCATTGAGCATATTAATTAGTTTTAGCTTGAATCTTTATTGGCGATATTATAATACTATGTGACTCACCCTTGCTCCGCTCGAGTTCGTCCCGAGTGAAAATTTAGGTTTGTTTGTGTTTCGTAATTCTGAATTATAAAAAAATTTACAATAAAAAAAAATTGACAAAAAAAAAATATTTTTTGGGGTGGACCACCCTTGTCACTTAGGGGTGTGAAAAATATTTAACGTCCTATTCTCAGACCTACTGAATATACACACAAAATTTCATAAGAATCGGTCAAGCCGTTCTGGAGAGGTTTTGTTACAAACACTGTGACACGAGAATTTTATTTATTAGAGTGAGATGAAACCATAGTTGCTCTGATATAAACCTGGAAAATTTCAAAGGAAATTATAGGCATGGTCATAAAAGTTTGTACTATTAAAAACGGTACTACTTTGCCTCAGCTGTAGTTTGACAGTGTAGTCTCTATCTTCTTAGGCGGCAGTTGTATATTCTACTGGAGCTATATTGTAGAATATTAGTTTCATAAATAAAGGTCTTTGATGTATGCACAAAAGTAAATGCGTCCGAATATTATTCACTAGTTTTAATTAAATTATTTTAAAATATATTTTTTTTGTAGACAGTAGGTACAGACAGAAAGTACCTACTTTTTGTAAGTCGGCGAAAAAATAAAAAAAATTGTTTTGTTTAAAGTATTAAAATATTTTATGCTAATAAGAAAAAAAAATTAAAAGCACCGTGATTGAAAATTATATTTTATAAACTAATTCTAAGCTTTCTATTTATTAAATAATAGCAACTCCACTTCATATAAATATAGTTATGTATATCATTTTAAATATGCAAAAACAAATGTATTGTACATATAACATACTAGGTACATATACACTATATGACGTAATTGTACCAATTTTATTATCACTCATGATCTAGAAAACTAGATCATGATTTGCGGATACTAATAAAAACAAAAATTAATATAAATTGTAATACATATTATAATTGGATTTAATGTAGATGTTTATATTATGCATATTAATTTGTTATTGATTCAATTAAATCAATTATATTTATTAATGTCGAGAACTTGTATAAATTATATGTATCTACTTATGTCGTAAACAATGGTATGCTGGGTTATTTATGTCATATCGTTTGGTCAACTTTTGTTAAGTAGGTAGGTACCTGTTAGGTACTTATTTGTCATAGTAATTTTATTTTATTTTTTTCACAAAAAGTATATAATGTAATAAAGAAGAGTAAATAATGTATATGTTAACTAAAAATAAATTTTAATTTTAATGGAAATAGCTTGACGAGTATTTATTTAAGTTGTTTTTAAATTCGGTCCAACCCTTATTTAATTTCAAATACATATAATTTTTTAGTTCATTGTAATGAATATTCATGATTTTTTTTTACAGTCCATATAAAAAAATATTTTAAAATCTTCATTTTTGTACATGTGTACTACTTATATATATTAGATATTATAACCCTAAAAATTGAGTTTAATATTATATTTGAATCATCATAACATATACATAGCAGTAGCACAGTAGTATATGGGAGTATGTAAGTTTATTTCTTGGACCACCCCTCATCCCGGTGCCGGCTCGTGACGTCACTCGCTAACCGGCCGCTTCCTGAGCTAAATTGGCCTGCTAATCGATTACAAGCAAACCCAATACCAACGACAGGTGAAGGCTACCCCTAAATAAATGTATGAAACGATTAAGGTCAACCACCTCTTGTATTTTTCAAAAGTTAACACATTTGAAACATTTTCTATGAAAAATATGTACTGGCTGGCGATTTATAATTTCGCTTGAACAGACCTCTGTTTGTTGAACACAAATACATACAAACATATATCGTTAGGATTTAAAAGCACTATTCATATCGGATTCCTCTTATAATATGCGGAAGTTTGTATATATTTTTGTTACTTCTTCATGTTGAACTGCTTGCTGAACGGATTTGGATAAAGTACACAAATATGTAGATCTAAAGTAAGCATATAAGCACCAAGAACGCACCCATGCATAGCGAGGTAAGTCGTTGGTATAGGTATCTACTTTAGGGCAGATATTCAATTTATCGATAATTAAGTCCACTTCATAGTAGTAATAGCAAAGAAGTACGATATTACCAGTGGTTGTTGGATCAGTGGCGAAGGGTCCATACAAGACGTCTTATCTTACAATTATTTTGCTATAATTTTAGATACATTTAATTTTTTAAATGTATAAATGTACTTTTGGATATATATATATATATATATATATATATATATATATATATATATATAATAGCTTCATTTCTTTCTGCATTAATACGTATATAAAAATTGTATATTTTTGGAACGGATTACCTCTAAAAAAATTCACCCTTCGCCACTGCTGGATAGTCATAATAATATAATATGCACATACCTACATCAGATGAACGCCACTCATATATTAGCCGTAAAAGAAAAATCAATGTGCGTGAGTTCAAAAGAGTTAAATAAAATAATTTCAAAGGAGAAGAAATCATGCACCTTTTTTAATATAAATCATCACAAACGAGGCCGCAAATAATTAATTTGTTATTGTATTTTAATTACTATAGAATATAATTTAATATTCATAAACACAAGAATACTTGAAGTTTATAGGCTCAAATTAAAACGAAACCCGCTAATTAAGGTTGAGATATTCTTCCTTTAATAAATTTTATTTTAATATTTATTAATAAATATAAAATAATTATGATAATAATGACCTTTATAATGGTTTTATTCAAAATGTTAATTATTAGATATACAATTTTATTTTAATTGTTAAAATAAAATTGTTTAATAATTTAAATAATTTAATTTAATATAATATTTTACCGCGAAAAGGTATTGTTGTTGAAATATGAATATTTTTTACTTAGATATAGGTAGTTCATGAGCAGAGGCTGGAAAAAGGTACTTTTTATATATCGACGGTTCCCATGCCGCATAACTAGGTTACAAAAATTCCAATGCAGTATTAATTATTATCTAATATATATTAAGATTTCATAATTTTTAATATAGCTTATACGGGAATAAAAACGTCGCGTCGTGAGAAAACCTGCATGTTTAAATAACCTAACAAATCAAAATACCTCACAGGTCTTCTGGCCCGCCAGTAAGAAGAATATGTAACGCTAATCCCCTTAGCGTTGAGAGAAGGCTAACAGTGGGACATTAAAAAAATGGTTAAATTATTTTACTATTATGTACAGATATTCATAAAACCCTCAATACTATATCTTATATCTTTATCTTATATTTTTAAACGAGCAATTCTTGTATATACATACATACATATATATAATCTGAATCTCGAAAACGGCTCCGAAGTTTTTCATGAAATTTTGTATACAGCGGCTTTCGGGGGCGATAAATCGATCTATATTTTGTATTATTCAACGCAAAATATGGTCGATAATGTGCAAGATCAACAATCACAGGTGTCCAGGTTCGTATCTCGGTCGCATACAAAGTTTTTACTTTTGTTTATTTTTTTTAATTTATTCAAGTTTTTAGTTTAATAAAAAAAAAGAAAATTGTACATCGGGCCAAAAACTGCGAGCGAAGCTCGGTAGCCCAGGTAGGTACTCTTGTAATAATGGATGTACGATATCAACTTATTTTCAGTTGCAACAGTAGTTGCTAAAAATAATTAAAGATATCGGAACACAGTGTAACTATCTAATCACCTCATTTGCTTTTAAATTAAATAAAATGTAAATGTAATTTACAGATGACGTAAATTGATTAAAATATACGTCTCCTTCAATTAAAGTCAAATACTAATAAAATTGCTAATATGTACTTAATTCGTTGAAATTAATTAGTTTTATTTTAACGAACCAGTCTATTTTCACTTATGCATTTAATTTATATGTATATTAAAACATTCGCTCGTCAAATGATATATTTTTTATCGCATATTCTTAGACTTACTTGTTTTTTCGGTTATTTTTATTGATAACAATAAAAAAATATTATATAAGTATAGATTATACGAAATATGTACATATATGATTTTTACTAACAACCTAAAGACCCAGTTGTAGACAGCAACCATGTCTGCACTAGAGGTAGCGATTTCGAGTCCCGCTCGGGGAAATATTTAGATTGGCATACATT